TTCTTTGATATTCTTTGTGGCTACAGAGGCGTTTTTTCCCATCTTGTATTCAAACAACATTACATGCCGAATGTATGTGTCTCGTCATATGCCATCACTATAAGAGATTAGAGTATAATAAACTTTACACATTATATAGGCTACACTAACGTGACGTTTAGGCGGTTCGTTTAACTATTATATGTGATGTATGTTTTTTGGGGGGTGGTTAATGAAAGTGTTCCAAAACGCAACATTAATTTATTGACAACCTATTAATACTGTAAAAGTAATGATGTGCACTTTGACCTCCACCCATGCACAGAGGATTAAAACTGTTCTATTTCTGAATGTGATGTAATTTCTAGAACAAAACCAAAAATTGTAATATCTTTTAGATATCTGTATATGCATATCTTGTGCATGTACTTTTACTAGTACACATGTATTTGTATGGTTCACAGTAATTAAAATACTCACTAGTTAATGGTTGTGAATTAAATTCCTCAAACCAGTTAGAAACTTTAGCTTACTTGCTTTTGTAGAGAGTTCAATTTCAAAACTTATTTAACTCAAACTGTTTGCTTTGCAGTAAATGTTGTATGAATAGAATACTGATAACAACTGAAGGCCTACTTTAGTTTGCAGCTCATCATATATTAGGTAATTGTGCAGCTTAGAAATTGTGATATCTATCTATGTAAGAAAAAATTCTGTTTCAAAATACCATGTCCTTCTTACCAACCAGTTTTAACTCTTTTACTGTGTACCATCTTGACTCTGAATGGAGCATCTCAGTTAAAACTGGTTGGTAAGAAGGACATGGTATTTTCACAGGGCTTCTATTATGTACATCTTGACTGTGGGTAGAGCCTTCCAGTTGAAATGCTGGTTGATGAGAAGGAACAATATATTTTCACAGTTAAAGTTCTGATTGGTAAGGAGGAACGTGGTATTGCCACACGGCTCCCATTTAAAACACTGTTCAACATGTTTTTAAAACTGATCTCTCTCTTATGTTATATAAATTGTATATCAGGAGCAAAACACTGTATAGATATGTTAGCATAACCCAGTTCTAGTTTATACTGAGTTGTGCCACATAGGTTATGTAGTCACTAATAATGAGTTTCTTAAGTGCAGTACTAGGTCTTTTAATTGTTCAACATGACACTCCGAATAATGCTACAGGTTGTGAACAGTGTTACTGTCTGCATGTCGTTTTAATGTTATGGTAAATTTGTAAGTGAAGATAATCATTTCTCTAATGAAGTTTATAACTTATGAGCAGATTTTGTTTCTTGAAATATGATAAAAAATATTTAGAATAAATCAGAAGATAGTATTACAGCACTTACCAAGGTGGAATATTTGAAAATTAGTAATCCTAACACAAATCAAAGGTTATTCACACACCACAGTTTAGATAAATGTAATCCACATTTCCTGACAGGTTGTATTGAACTGAAGAGATTGTGTGGAATTAATGGCAAAGAGATAACACAGATGAGGTTCATCACCAAAAAAAATATCCTGTAATAACATAACTTATAGAGAACAAAGGACCATTTGGTCCTTCAAGGCCTTCCTTGTGCACCCACATTTGAGATAAGTAAAAAAATTATATGTGCCTTCATTTTTCAAATATAAATAAATTTAGAATAAATCAGAAGATAGTATTACAGCACTTACCAAGGTGAAATATTTGAAAATTAGTAATCCTAACACAAATCAAAGGTTATTCACACACCACAGTTTAGATAAATGTAATCCACATTTCCTGACAGGTTGTATTGAACTGAAGAGATTATGTGGAATTAATGGCAAAGAGATAACACAGATGAGGTTCATCACCTAAAAAAATATCCTGTAATAACATAACTTATAGAGAACAAAGGACCATTTGGTCCTTCAAGGCCTTCCTTGTGCACCCACATTTGAGATAAGTAAAAAAATTATGTGTGGCTTCATTTTTCAAGAAATCATCCGCTACTATCCAATGGCAACCCATTCTATAATTCAGTCACTCTGTTAGAAAAATAAAACTTTCTTAACTAAATTTTATATTGTTTTGTCTCATTCATCAAAAAACCATCTGTTAGCATCTTTATTCAACTCAGTATATTATGTTTAGCAATTTAATAAATACTAAATTAAAGAATTACTGACAAAATGAAAACAGAACAATTCATCATATGTATTATAAAAGTTATAAATAAGCAACAGGGTTTAACGTTAATATTTGGATGTAAATAAAAACATCATGCTTTAATAAATGACTTGAAATATTTGTTTGAATAATTTCACTTATCTTTTTTCAGAAATTTATGGCATACCTCCTCACTGTATTGGCAAATTACATGTATGATACAACATTAAATGTTTAACATTTATTGCACCCATAATATCAGAATAGTTATTTCATCATTTGTTATAATGAGATATTACACTCAATTATAAATTATTTATTTTCTTTACTGCTATTTTTAAAAGTTCCAAAGTGTATTCCATTAAAAAATCTCAAGTATATATATATATATAAATATATATATATAGTATATATATTATTATTATATACATATA